TTTTAACTATAATAAATAGATTGGTAATATAACTAAAGAATAGCTTAGTAAGGGTTTTTTCTGACCCTTTTAGGCTATTTTTGGATCCATTATCATTGTCTTATAGGTTTATAAGTTTTGGACAACTCTTAGATTTTTTCTTTAAAAAGACCAAAGTAAAGCTATTTCTATCTTTAGCTGCTTGATTCAAATCATTGTTGTATGAAGCAGCCAAAAGATCTGATAATAAATTCAGGTTGGAAATAGGATTATCTCTTTCTACAAAAGCTATCTCCAACTCTTGCATTTTATTTAGTTAATTTTGGTCTTGTGCTTCTACTGTTTCAGCTTATAACAGCTCTAATTCAATTTTTCCTTTCATTTCTAGATCAGTTGGACTAATATTCTCTTTAAGTTTATCTATACTTATGTAGTATTTATTTTTCAGATTGTATAGATTCTCTGAACTTAATGTCAGAGACTCTTTTTTTTGTTAAAGCAGTCGCTTCTTTTTTTGTTTTTTTTTGCATTTTGTGATTCTTATAAAGGTTCTAATTTTTACTAATATTTTATATTCTGAACATTCCTTTTGATATGCCCTGTTTTATTACAAAAGTAGCAGAGTTTTGAAGCTTCTTTCTAGTTTGTTGTTACTTTGTAATTCCAGACATATGTAAAGCTTGGAATTCTATTTACAAAGTCTAGGTCATCTGTTATCTTAAAAATTACTACTCATTGGTCTGAAAGAACTGAGATGCCTTTATAGACTAGTAGCTTAATGAAAAAAATAGTACCTATGTCTTGAAAAGCCTTCTTAATATCTATTGGAATGTTATAAAGCCTAACTGACAAAAAATTACATCTGATATTAATTGGAATATATTCTTGAATATTCTGTTTAAAGATTATTAGACCATTAGTTGCATAGTACTGTTGTTGTTCTTCATTTGAGAAATCTACTTCTAGATAAATTTTTTTGTTCTTAATGATTATTAGTTTAATAACAATTAGATCTTCATATATTTTATTTTGCATTGTCTCTACTATGTTTGTAGTAGAAATATTTTCTAAGCTATAAATTTTAAAAATTAGAGCATTCTTATTTTTAGTATTTAGTCTTTTTCTATATGAATAAGTTGAGTAAGTTGTTTTTTCTCTTTCAAGTTTTGCAAAAAGATCTGACTACTGTCTAAAGTTTGTAAACAAATTTTTCAAAGTTGATTGGTCACTAGTATGCTCTGTTTCATGATCAGTAGCATATTTCATCTTGTGATTTATATTAGCTATATGCTTTATTTGTTTTAATTGATGTTCTGATATATGACTAACTATAGCTATATGTTCTGTTTGTTTTGCCATATTTTGATATATTTTGTTAAATAAAGTAGACAGAGTAATTTCTTCTTGTACTACTTTTGCCTTTCTTTTAGTATCATAATTTGCATTTGTGTCTTTAATTATTTTTTACTATTGAGATTTCTATACTCTGTTTTGTTGTTAACACTCTCAGTACTATTGTAAGAAACCTTTAAAACTTTTATATTTTTTTTGTTATTTGCTTTTGCATTGCTAGATATAACAAATTTTGCATTTGAAGTTCTTGCTTTTTTGATCTTTCTATTTTAATTACTAATTGGAATACTTGATATAGTTAAGCAAGCTTGCTTTTGTTTTCTGAGTACAGAGGTTTTAGTCCTTATTATTTTTTTTGTAAATGTGTTATATAAGTTTTTGATTATTTTGTATATCAGTTGTTCTTCACTTATAAAAAAATGAAGAACAGAAGAGAGTTTAAAATGTTTTTTGATAATTTTTTTATATAATCTGATTGGTTGATTATAGAATTATTATAGTAACAGATTACTATAAACTAGTAATTATTTTTTACTATGTGGACTATATGCAATACACAGAATTAAAACTTTATATACATTTTCTTTTGAACAAATATGCATATATTACATAGAAAAATTAGCATTTTGTAAGTAATGTGCATAGTTGTTTATAGATTTTCTTTATTTGTTATACAGAAAAGTTTCTAAATTATAACATCTATACAATAAAATTTAATTAAAAAATAAATACTGCTATAAACTAATATTCTTATTAATAATATATTTTTGCTAATAGTTATATTACAATTACAAAAAATAATTATAAAAAAATATACAAATAGTTACTTATATAACTTTAATTATTGTTTAATTTAAATAATTTGCTTAAAGATTTTATACTAGTTATTATATCTAATATCTATTTATAAGTTTTTATTTATATACTTTAGTTTCTGTATTTATTTACAAACTTATCTTACCAACTGCTCTATTTATTACTAATACAAATATATTATAATTACAAAATTTTTAAGACAGTTTATTTATATAAAAACCTTTGATTTTGTATTAAATTTACTAAAATCTTTTGTATTTTATACTTACAACTAATTTAGTAACACTATAATTAAGACTAATACTTGTATTTAAAGCTAACTATTAAATTGTTATATTTTTATAAAATTTATTTAAATTTTAGTACTAATTTTTTGATAGTTTTTTTATTATTTTCTATTAGTTCTCTTATTTAAGACTAATAAGACTTTTTAAATTACCAATTCAGATAACCTAATATAGTATATTTTTGTAAATTTTTTTCTTTAATTATTTTAATAATCTGGTTGGTATATGTACTTTTTTTATATATCTATTATTTGGTTTATTTATTTATTTCTTTAAAGGATGTTTATAAACTTCTATTAGTTCAATAACATTATTAAATGTTTATATTATTTTTTTATTTAGAAATTTTCAAGTAAGTTTCTGTTTCTTTGGTTTTTAATTTTTTATATCTGATAATTTTATTATAAATTTGCATTAAAATTTTATATAATACTAATAAACATTTTTTTATATCTATATAATATTACATTTTGTATAAATGTTTTAAGTTTTTAATATCAAGTAAGATCCAATTTGATGTACTTAAGATTACAGATGTATCAATTCAACTGATTATTAAAACAGTTGTAATACAAATTAATTTTTTCAAATTTCTATTATTTATAAAATTTGAACACTAAACCTATTATGTAAAAGTTAATAATTTGTTTATTATACCAAGTTATTATATTTTTTATTTTTTTTAAATTAGTTTTAAATAAATAAATAAAAGGTAAATAATAGATAAATAACAGAAAAAAATCTGCTATTATTCTACTCTATATCTACCAAATAATAGCAATATAATAGTAAAATAACAAGAGGTTTGTTAATATAAATAATATAATAGTAACATAATAGCAAAATAATAAGAGAATAGCAATCCTAGTGTAGTGGTTGGGTTGTCATTCTCCAAGTGGCAGGTCTAAGATTCAAATCCCACCTATAACAAAATTTGAAAATTATATCTGTGTTATAGTAACTGTCATCTGTTGATCAGTTGGCCTTATGTGGCTATTACCTAGATATACAAAGTTAGGTCCTTCTGATATTGGAAGTTTAGGCATTTATGCAAAGTGTAACATTACACATATATAGAGGAATACTTATCGATATTGCATGAGACTTTGATGCAAATCTATGATAAGACTATTGAATATAGAAGACTAAGGAACTAAGGTGACAGAAACCCACTTAGAAATCCTCGAGTAAAAAGATAACATAAACTTTTGATGGTATTATCAGACTGGTTGAAGCCTATGAAACACCTTCATAGAAGCCAAAGATTAAAACTGGACATCAAATATAAGTAGAAGAATATATAACCAACCAGGCTACCAGATTTGCCAGAAGAAAAGAATATATAAGTATACTATACTGGGCCATCTGAATTGGTAATCTGAAATGAGACTAACAGTTTTGAGTTGTTGCTAGTAGGAGATGATGGAGAAGATGCCGAAAAGATAGGTACTGGGGTTCTAGTGAATTTTACAAGAGTAGAAATAGTGTAATGTAGCAGTTAAACAGGTAATCTCTGTGACTGCAAGTGTTAAGTAACTATAGTATGTTACATAAAACTAGGTCTATATGTATAAGACATAAAGATTCTAATAAGTTTCCTATCAAGGATAAAATAGTTCTAAGGGTAATGATAAGCATTAAGAACTTGAATGAGTGTAACCTTGAGATGTTCTTGTGATACAAGAAGGATTACATATGCAGAGGGTTTAAATAGGCAAGACTTCTAGTTGGCTTGCAAATATGACAACTAGTGTAGAACTTATATAGCAATATATAAGCAGACTACTTAAATTAGGCATCAAAAGTGCATGTGTGATTAGTTGTAACCTCCAATGTAAAGAAGCCTCTGGAAGCACCCGTTTCTTAACAAAACTTGAATAAAATATCACATCTCCAAGATAAAGACTTTAACTAAAAAAAAAAAAAAAAAAAAGTAAAATAATAAACAGTTCTATTATTTTACTTTTAGTTACAAAGACTAAAAATAAAATAATAGAACTGTTCTATTATTTTGCTATTATGTTACTATTATGTTACTCATATTGACAAACCTCCTGTTATTTTACTATTATTCTGCTATTATACTACTGTTATGCTGCCATTATTTGGCAGATATAAAGTAGAATAATAGCAGATTTTTTTTCTATTATTTACCTATTATTCGCCCTTTATTCATTCATTTGACCTGTAATATAATTATACAGTTTAATAATAATCATAAATTTATATATATGTATTATAATTTACTTTATAAAAAATATTTTTTATAAATATCTTATTAATGATATTATTTATTAAAAAAAGTACTTGATTAAACCTGTTATATATACCAATTGATACTACAAACATCAATATTTTTTAAAATTTAAAATAAGATTTTAAAGCTTAAATTCGCTTATGTTAATATATATTGATTGCTTAAAGCTGGTTATATATCGATTTATACCAAAATTGATATAACCCAGCAGAAGTGATTATTATCGATATATATTTAATGGGTTACAATTGCATATATCTTTATATAAAATTTCCCGATGTTAAAAAGTAACTTTTTTATTTTTTTTATTAAACATCATTTGATAACTTGACTTTGATATCATAATTACCATTCAATAAATAAGGAACTGATATCTCTAGTGAATTAAAGATCAAAAAAAAAAGATAAAGCAATCACTATGGCTGATTATACTTGAGTTTTTAAAAATTGTTTTTATCAAGTAACACCATGTATGTTTACCAAATTAGTTGCATTTGTTATTATACATACAATTATGAAGATAGAACAAAAACAGTATCGCTAAAAAAAAATTGTATGTATATTATATAATAAAATATTAAAGATGCACCAAATTGCAAAGTGCAACAAAAAATTTTTCGCATTTATTTAATTATGAAATTTAATTACAATTATAATTGTTATTAAAACAATTTACAAATATAAACCAAAAATTATAATATTATACTAGATAAATACTAATAACACGAGCATAATCTAAAACTTCTAAATTAGTATGGTCAATTTTTCTTGTACTATAGATATACTTAATTATTTCTAATATGATATCAAAAAAATAAAATATTAAAGTTTTGCAAAGAGTTCAGGAAGTGTTTGGTAAATGATAGAAGGGGGGATTGTTGTTTTTGTTGATGATGATTGCAGAGAAGTAAATGCGGGTAGTTGTCTACGACCAAAAATTCGTAATCGTTTCAAACCACCATCTTTGTTAAAGAAGAAAAAGTCAATATTTATAAAGTGAAATAGTATACATAATTACATTTATATATAACATATATCACAATATACCTGGATAAATGGTCAACCGCACGTGCGAGAATTTTTGGTCTGTGCACAGCAATTGAAATAGATGCTGTTTATGAGGATATAGTTTAGATTTTTCCAGAACAGTAACCCACATAGTATCTTTTTCATTTGGAATGTCCTAATAAAAAGTTAAATTAGCAATCAATTAAACACAGTAAACATATTTTTTATTTTAAACCAACCGAATCTGAATAGCAAGCTTCTAAGGAGGCACTTTCAGAGTAATTTCCTTTGTAAAAGGCAGTGTCAATCTCAGCCCTTTCAAGAAAGCCAGGAGCACCAAGTTTTATAACTGCAAAATCACAATGGCCTTTCTCTCTGCTTCTTTTTGTCTCCCAGCCATCGGACATATCAGTCCCACGGCCAGGAAGCAGTAAGTTATCCACTCGAGAGAAATGTTGATCGGAACAATCAACACTTTTTGCACCATGACCCAAATAAGCAAGATCGATCAAAGCACTAGGATCTCGTGGCCATTGTGTATTTACAATACCGTATACACGGAATCGGGCCTTTTTACATTTAGATGGTAAAATAGAAATGAACACATGAAATGCCGTATACATGAAATACCGTATGGCCAAAAGATACATACCACACCACCATCGGGGTATATGTTAAGTCTCACATGGGTAAACGTAAGACTTGATTGAATGGAGAAAAAATGTTGAGAACTCGGATCAAGAGGAACTTTCTCAAGTATTTCAAACCACTAAAAAGAAATAATTTGATTTTGAATTCATAATTGAAACAATTATCGAGGACATGTAATAATTACCTCAGTATTATCACCATGTTCAGGATCGAATTTAGGAGAATAGCAAGCTTCAACGCTTGCAACTGGAGCATGATTTCCATTAAAATGGGCAGTGTCAATATCAAAGCCCATAATTTTGGCCATGAAACCTAATTTTATGACAACCCTAAATAGGCAATAACAAGTTAACAAATAGGAATTCATGTACGTACGTACATAGGGAAAAACTGATATCTACCAGTCATGAGAGCAAGGATTATGACGTCGGGTTTCCCAGCCATCATACCATGCACCACGGTCTAATGTTATAAGTATAAACGACTATTATTGTTATTATTTATACCAATCTATTGAATGAGTGATACCAAGAGAAAACCAAAACTCAGACTTTTCAAGGTTATCATTTATTATTTGAGACATATGATACGTAAATAAATTTACTATATGTCACTGGTCAGGATAAATAATAAATAATTAGCTTGAAGTCAGGAATTTGGGTTTCCTTTTTCAGCTTTTTCATCACTCGAATAGTAATATATAATAATATAATAATACCGGTAAATTTGTTAGGTAACTTGACGGATTTGGTAGGTTTCAATAAATTGGTAGCTTCCGCGAAAAATTCATCAGAAACTTCGATTATGCGTCCACCCAGAAGTTCATTTGCCAAGTCTATGATAATGACAGATTATATTAGCAAAAATGTTAGGAAGATAGTACATCGATACATATATCCATATTGATATCAATATATATATCCATAGTGATATCAATATATTAGCATCAAGTAAAACCAGTGCATACCATTATAATTTTTGACCAGAAATTCATGGCCCTCGACGAGAGAAAATCTAATAACAGAATTTTTATTATAAGTAGTTGACATTTTTTGGTTTTTTTTTTTTTTTTTTTTTGATTAAAACAAAGATTCACAAGTTCGTTTTAAATATCAATATCGATATCTTTTTAATCAATTTATATACCGTACATATAAGTTTAATGATTGGTGATATCAGATATGTAAAATTTTGGTGGACGAAACTTTGATAAATGAAACAACTTACGAAAATGATCCGGTAGTTTTTTACGAAGGGGGTTATTGTTATCGTTTATATTCCGACTATTCCGATTACCATGTAAAGTAATGCAATGCCTCTTATCAAAGAGATCCTTTAACTTTTCGTCATTGATGAATAAAATCATATGATATCACCAGTTTATGTAAAATAACTAATAAATAAAATATAAAAGAAATATATATATAATATGTAAAAAAAAAAAAATTATATATAATAAATATATATATATTATATAATATATAAATAAAGATATAATATATAATAAATAATAAATATATATTTCTTAAGTTTCGAATACAATAATTTGATTACCGTGAGAAATCTCCAATCATAGTATAGTAAAAATATATGCCTTCAATTATAGGCTAGTGAAATACGTATACGTAATCGAATTGTATTGTGCTGACACGTATCTATAATTACTAATTCTTCTCACAAGACTTTCTTTTTTTAGGATTGATATCTTAGTGTTAAGTGGATAACATTGTACGTCCGGTACTACAAAAGTTTGGTTTCGTAATTTAAGGAATGGTAAAAAAATCGATTTAAAACATGTGATGATTATGATAGTCCCTGATCAATTAATATCCCAAAAATGGTCATTAGTAAAGTTGATTGGTTAGTCAAGGGACTTAAATTGTACGTATGACTTGATTATTAATTAAATAAATTAAAACATTTTTTAACTATGTATTAAAGACAAGCCTGTTCTCAAGACCGAAGACTGAATCATCAGTAACACATCACTGGGGTACTCGATGTACTATGTAAATCAAAACTATGTTTGGTCATATAGTAAAATTTATTAATTGATGATCCGGTACGTATAAAACAAAGTATGTTTTACTATATATAAGTTTGTTTTTGTCAAAGCTGCATTTTCAAAAAAGTAATCTAATTTTTTTATTAAGCAAACCTTTTTATTTATATAATAGTAGTTAAAATACTAAGTAGATTATAAATATTTTAATTTTTATAACTACGTATACGTTTTTCTTATTATTTTGGAAATGTAGATTTTAAATGTAATAATTATTGAAATTTTAAATAGATGCACAGCTCTAACGGTTCGATAGTTTCGAATGAAATTTCACAGAGACAAGTATTATGGCTCTACAAACAAAGCTATAGAGCCATTTCTTTAAAAACAAAAACCAAGTAATATCAAAGTTTTCTTTTGCCTTTTTTTAAGAAAAAAAAAAAAGATTAATGTCTATAGATTTGCTTATAGAGATGTAATGCTGGTCTCTGCGAAATTTTGTACAAAACTATCGAACCGCATCTATTTAAAGTTTCAATAATTATATTTAAATTTACTTCGTTATCTAAAAAATTCATTAAATAAATTTTTACTATATGACCACACAGTTTGGTAATAAAATATATTGAGCATAAAATAGATAATTAATCAATGACACCCCACGTTGCAATTAATTTTTCATAACAATTTTTTAATCTCTATAGTACGCTTTGATTGACGACACCTCACGCAGACATCGTTTTGTCACAAGTTTTACCGAATATTCAAATGTTCATCAAAAATAATATATAAAAAAAATTAATGTGATCTTAACTCTATCAATTATACAGCTAAATTATTTCATAATAATATTACGTTTTGGAAATATCATTATGCCTAATAGCTTTGATTTTATAACGTTCTCTTCAAACATTCAAATTGTTACACGATCGATAAATGGTGGTTCACAATGCTTTTAAAAGCTCGGGTAGCTTAACTTTCTATGAAACGAGAGTAAATTTAACGGACGAATTGGCTTACATCATAATTAAAGCACAAAATCAAAGCGCAAACCAATATTTAAAATTTCATAGGAGTTCGGTCATGGGCCCTTAAGAAAACATAATCTTTATAACGAACCTTTTTTTCTTCCAGAACCATCAGTTCGTTATAGAAAGAGTTGATCATCTTCGTTTTTTAAATAATTATATGTATATAATAAAACACTTAGCAGCAATCTCTATTCTGTATGACATTCGCTTTCACTTTGCCTTATAACATATTCTTACCTTTTTATTTGCAACCTGATTGGCCGATTTACTAAATTCGGATACGATTGGCTGATAATCATGTGTAAATGTTTCGAATTTGAACGGTCGCTCCTGTTTTGTTCTCTTCATTTATAACATTTTCTACAAATTTTCGTGGTACTTTTGTGAAGACCACCATACAGGATTTTTTTGCCATCTTTATTTGGTTACTATGATTGAATCAAAGTGCTCTCAAACCCAGGACGTTTTTTTAGATCACTTTTTTAATTTTTGTTTTTTAGAACTATTAATAATCGCCTCCTCTATAGTGGATTTTAGGCTTTCACAAACGAATACAAATATAATTGGATTTTCTCTCTTCGTTATTAAAATACCAAGGTCTCTTACATCCCATCAATTTAAAATCTATAATAGATCTAGTATAGTACATGGTTGAGAGCTTATATCATTAAAAAGAAATTATATATTTTTTTATTTATAACAAGCGATTTACACCCGAGTATAAATCTACTATTATAAGGATCTCGTATACGTACTGTAATTTGCGACAGTTAAAATCTAACTTTGATCAATGATAATTTTGGGATTAATGTGATTTTCAGAAAACATGAATTAATAAATGTGATATATACTTGTGTCATGCTTTCGTAATCAACTTAATCAACTCAGAGAAAATCTCTTAATTCGTACACTAATTTGGAAATCAAGTACTTTACGAAAATGTTGATCGATAGATTAATTGCATACAGCTAAGTGCATTGATAATTTGGATTTTTTTTTTTTAAAAAAAAAAAAAAAAATCCACAAAACGCCTTTTTACAGATAAGCAATAGTGATTGATTGATAGTTTACGGTTTTTTTCCATAAAAATATTTATTTCTAGATATCCAAGATATTATAATTTATTATGGCAACAATGTTTCACGAATAATCGATAGAAAATACAGTTACATTAAATGAATCTAATCATTAAACTTTTTGATATTATACGACAGGGAAAAACCTGTTAACTACGTACATACGTACGTACCTAGATTATTTGATAACTTTTACACGTATGAGCTAATCAACGAAATTGAACCATGAATAGAGTCACTAAATTTAATTGGAGCTCCTTATTTCTTTATTTTATTAGTCGGAAGAATTATTAGGGTATCATAACTATGATTGCCTTGATTTAATGAGTGTCTGTCTATTCTGCACTCTGCAAGAAGGATTTAACAAATATGCATCAAACCTGTTAGATTATCGTCTAACTTATTGCCTACTGAGTAGGGTAAGGGGCACAATGTTCTTGGGCATGTCTAGGGGATGTATTTAATCTAAAGCCTAGGGCATGTCGTGAAGCTAAAAGTCATGCCCTTTTTGTTTGATATTTAAAAAACGTAGATGAAATAAATGTGCCTTTTGATTGGTCATTCTTAACCACTTATACAAGATAATATTGATAGATATATTTATGAGACATGCCCCCGAGGTAGGGTTGCTAATGCCTCTGCCCTACTACTGAGACATACCATTTGACATTGTTATTATTACGAATAAATGTTAAAAATAAACTTTTCGTCTCAATGATGAATTGCCCGACACTAATGCTTACGAGGTTGCCTGGCACCTTTTGGGCAGCCTAATAATCTAGAATAGGTTTTCATGCTTATAACACAAAAGTACCCAATATATGTCTAATACTTTGTGCCTGTGTCTTAAAAGTGCCCAGTAATTTTATGTCAGATATCTTGTATCTGTGCCTTTGTTAGGCACGGACACATGTTGGTCTTGCAGATTCCTAACGCTAATTGTCAAATAACCTATCCCACTACGTATCAACCAATTTTTTAGAATATTAAAATTCTATGCCGAATATTAGCCCTTCTGCATATATTCTACATTATGTAAAACAGATTTCACCCTAACATGATTTGTATACGTGGCGAATTTAACTCTTTTATTCTTACATTTGAATTTTAAGGGTTGTGCTTTCGTATTATTATATCTTATATCGATATACTTATATATACATGAATCGGGTGATACCGTAAAATGTTACGCTATCACTTAATGTTAACGTTTATCAGCAACCACTTATAGCGAAATATAAAAGCTACTGTCCGCCCTGCGCTTGTGCTGTTCTGTGCGTGCTTTAATCATGTGCTTGTACCCACTATTTCCACTATTTCGGTTCTCTCTGCTCAGAATAGGTTTTGAGTCACTGGCGGTTTTTTTATACATCGCCCTCACATGATTGACCAATCAAATTTCAAGATAAGGTGTAACGTAGCACGATCAGGAAAATTTAAAACAAACGTTCGTTTTGTCAAAAATTACCTATAA